CGGTGAGATAAAAGAGACAATTAATCTGAATTTTTGGGGTGAGTTTGGGCAAGGGAGAAATATTGGCCAGGATACATAACATGAATGTTAAAATACATGGGGAGGAAACAAGTTCAAGAATCAGAGGAAGCAAAAAAGATTAATTAGAAAATATACAAGTGGGAAAAGGGATGAAAATCACAAAATTTCAACAGTACCAATCATAAGAGGTACAGTATGAAGATTAATGCACCGTATCAGGTACATTTCTAAAGAATGTTCATGACGCTCTTCTTTGAACAGCAAACACATTGATAATAGGAGAAACTTTATTCCTAGTGCCAATCTTTTTTTCTTCTCTAATTGTTAAGCAAATCAAGATTCTTGGCTTTATAAATACCACACCCACAGTGTTAAGGCAAACTTAAGGTTGCAGGGTTTCATGAAAAAAGTTCTCTTTTCTCCCCTACCCCCAACAAATAACAAATCAAACAAAGGATTTTGACCTTTACGAAAATTGCTGGCAAGCACCACATTCTTTTATGTGTATAACACAGGGCAGTACTCAAAAATATCTCAAAAGCAGAGCCTAACTTGCTGGCTGCAATTTTTCAGCCAGAAACTAGAGAAGGTATATGTTGGAGAATGGGACATTGGTTGTATGTAGTAGCAGCTGGGGATTATTCCCCTTGTGAGTACAGTGGAAAATGGCATAATGTGCAAAACCAAAGATAGCAAATCAACTTTGTAGTACAAAGACCAAAGTCCCCTAACTGCTCAACTATAGAGGCAGATGGGTCGAGCTTGGATGGACAACAGGATCCTCACAGGGCCAACACAGGCCAACACCATCTACTTGGATGGGAGTTGAAAGGAATTGTAGATGCTGATGTGTAAACAATTTGCATTTATACAGCGCATTTCAGATGCACAGAATGTCTCAACGTGCTTTAATAGAAGCCCAAGTTGAGAAGGAGGTACGGAGTGTCGATACAGATGACAAAAAATACAGTCAAACAGCTAGTTTTTAAATACAGAATGTGGGGTGAGGTGAAGAAATGTTGGAGGCAAGGTTAAGAGATGTTGGAAGCGAGTTCTGGAGATTGGAGGTAACGTGGCTTGAAAGCTCGTTCTGTCCTCCATCGTCACGCAAGTGGGGAGGCATGAAACAGGACATAGTTTGGAAGAATGGAGGGTAGTGGCTGTGTGAAAATTAGTCTTAGAATTAGAAAAAGGCCATTTAAGAGTGAAATCAGGAAGCATTTTTTTTCACTCAAAGGGTGGTAGAAATCTGGAATCCTTCTGAATAAAGAAGAAAACTGCCTGATATCTGTCCCAAAATTGTTCTTTACGACTCTAAAGTCCTCATGCATCCTAAAGTATTGAACAATATGATACAAATTGACATTTCACATCGGTAGGGCGTCTCAAGGTGCCTGACAGTCCTGGCTTGGCACTTGAGCTCAGGTGGAAACTGAGGAAAAGCACGGACAAAGATGTAGGTCTTCAAATAGATCTTGAACGAAATGAAAGAGAGAGAGAGAGAGAGAGTCGGTGGGACTGTGAAATGGAGTTCTAGAGAATAGGGGCAGATAAGTTGAAAGCCTGATTGCTGATAGTGAGGCGAGTAGGGCAGGAGACATGAAGCAGGTCTGTACCCACTAAGGAAAGGGAGCAATTGAGTTCATAGAATCATACAGCACAGAAAGAGGCCATTCGGCCCATCGCGTCTGCGCCGGCTCCTAAAAGAGCAATCCAACTCAAATCCACTGGCCCACTTTCTCTCCATAGCCCTGCAATCCTGTTCTCCCCAAATACCCATCTACTTCTCTCTTAAAAGTTATTATTGAATCTGCTTCCACTACCCTTTCAGGCAATGCATTCCAGTTGGTAGGGGTTGAGGAGATCACAAGAGATATGGTCAGGCAATACCATAGTAGGATTTTAAGTGATGACAAGGATCTTGATTTTGATCCATTGGGGTTAGGGAACCAATGGAGGATGGGGGCGATAGGCTCATGGAGCCTGGTGTGAGAAAGCACATGATGTCTCTTGCTCTGACAGCACAAACCTTTGTTCTATTAAACCCAAAGGTAGACAAGGTTTCTAATCTGAATAGTTTTAGAAATACGAGACCATTTCTCACAATACTACACCAATGTTTTTGTTATCCCGCTTAGGTTGAACAACAGCCTGGTATTTGGCGTGTGGTGCCCTGTAACCAGTGCATTTCACAACCAGACAGCGGAGTTTAACTCCACTATTTGATACAGTGGAGCTAAAAATTTAACGATAAGCATGAAACTTCAGATAGATGTGAGGTTTCTTAGCCCTAAATATGCTTTCTTTGCCTTTTTAGGCACAATATTTGCAAAAGTATCGGAACAATATTACTTTCTAACAGAAATATATTTCATTGGTTAAATTAGCACTTATCAGTGCTTCAGTAAATGCCCAAAGCTAACCAATTTACATCTTAAAATTAAAAAAAATTAACAAAGTTTTTTGGGGTGCTTTAAAGCATTATCACAAGTGTCTATTGAAACTGAGTCAATTACATCATTTAAAATGCAATCAGAGAAATACTTCAAAAATAAAGATTTTAGCTGCGGTGGGGGAGTAAGCCTCAGCACAGACACGATGGTCTCTTTCTGTGCTGATGTGTTTATGATTCTGCAAATTGTTTTTTCCATTCCAGATAGGTTTGGTTGGATGGAACTGTTCAACCTCATAAACTTGATGTTTTTAGTTAGTGAGTCAGGCATAAGAGAGAGAGATAATCTGTTGTATGATGCACTGAAATGTGCTCAATCATGAACTTCATGATTGCACAAGAATAGTTTAATGTACAACTGTTAACACAGATAGAAACATAGCAGCAGAGCTAAAGGGGTGAGATGCCATAATACAACAGATTATACATCTGTTAGCCTGGTTCAGTTGGTAGCATTCTCACCTCCGATTCCAAAAGTTCACTTACAAATTCTACAGTCACTCCACATTACAGTAAATCCAGCAAAATACTTTGAAATGACCTCCCAACTTGTGAGGTGTGATATCAAATGCAAGGATTATTATTACTACATCAGGAAAGGAAATAACGTACTTTTTTACATTGCTTATCTTACAAAATTATAAGCTTGTAAATTCTTAAGAGTGAAATGAGAAACTGTACCATTGAATTTGAAAAGACAATATTTCTCAGTTACGTTTTCTCTGCTATTCCTGTTTCCAGTACTGTTTTTGCATTTTTGGTCCATTCCAAAAAATTTTTTTGTCACTCAATGCACAACTGTTTGTGGGACACTGCTAAGTGCAATTAGCTGCTGTGTTTCACCCCCATAATACACAGTCTATCCATTTTACAATACATTCTGTGAAGGGCTTTAAAACGTCTCAACAATGTGATAAGGTGCTATATCAAATGCAAGGATTATTATATTTACTTTGGAATATTTTATTCATAGAATCTTTGAATGAAAAATTAATACTGGATCAATGATTCACTATTGAATGAAGTTGCATTGGGCTGGAACATTTTTGATATCTCTGAGTCTGCTGGTCTCTGCTTTTCTTGAATCAACCATGGTCAAGACACGATTGTGAAATTATTTTCTCCCATAGCAGGACAACGCTGTGGGTGGCTGGAATTCCTAGGTGCAGTCCACTCAGCTCACTTTGAGAAACATGGACCTCATGCAATTCTCAGAACTATTATCTGTCTGTACGTTAGTTTTAGAAATTAATGGGCAGTACCTAGCGATAAGTCAATAGAGATTGATTGTTTAGTTCAGATGTGATAAAACCGTCAACTAAAACAGAAGTTATTATTACAAAAAATACAAAATAACATTTATATAGCACCTTTCACATCGGGAGGATGTCCCAAGGCGCTGGATAGTCAGCGATTTATACCCGAGCAGGGGGTTGGGATCAGGGAGGGTAGGGAGGGTGGTCGAAGGCACGGTTGAGAAGAGGGTCTTGTGATGTGCCTTGAAGAAGGCAAGGGTGGAAGTGAGGTAAAGGGAGTGTGGGATGGAGTTCCAAAGGGTGGGGGCAGAGAGGCTTAAGACCTGACTGCCGATGGTGGGGGATGTGAGACCATACTTAGAGTACTGTGTACAGTTCTAATCGCCGCAGTACAAAAAGGATATTGGAGAAATCGAGATGATATAGAGGAGGGCAGCCAAAATGATTGAGGGAATGGAAGGACTGACTATGAGGAGCAACTAAATAAATTGGGCTAAGTTCACGCAGGAAAAGAGAAGATTGAGAGGCAACATGATTGCTGTCTTTAAGGGGCCAGACAATATAGATCATGAGAGGCTGTTTCATCTTGTTCAGAATAGTAGAACCAGAGGACACTGCCTGCGATTGAAGGGCGGTAAATTCAGAACGAATAATAATAATAATCCTTGCATTTGATATAGCGCTTTTCACGTCGGGAGGACATCCCAAAGCGCTTCACAGAACACACTGTAAAGTGAATTGACTGTATATTTGTGGGCGAACGCGGCAACCAATTGCGCACAGCATTGTCCCACAAACAGTCGTAGATTGAAAATGACCAATTTATTATTGTTTTTGTTTTTTGGAGGGATTATTATTAGGCGTGTGGAGTAAGGAAACTTGCCCAAGGTTTCGCCCTGACTGGAATTGAACTCAGGTCTTTCGCTTGCAATGCGAGTGCTCTAACCACTGAGCTACAGGACTCCACGAATCTACGGAAACACTATTTCAGTGAGCGAATAGTGAAGCTGTGGAACAGGCTCCTTAGGGAGACGGTTGAAGCAGAAAGTGTCGATTTTTTCAAACACAGATTAGATAGTTTCCTTTTAGGAAATAACATTATGGGATACAATACATAGGTAGTTTGGGACATATATCCATGCGACCGCCAGGAAGGTAGAAGGCGAACTAGATGGACCTTAATCTTTTACATCTAGCATTTCCTATGTTCTTATGTTCTTACTTATTAAGATCAAAGCTACATTCCATCAAGCACCTTTTAAATGTCTTACCTGTGCAGTTCTTTTCCCCTTTTTGATGGCACAAGTTTTCATGCACTTCCATTGTGCGGGTGGAATTTACATCAGCAGCTGCACAGTTACACCAGGTAAAGCCTAAGCACATGAAAAAAGTACATAAGTTACTTTCAAACATGAATCCAGCTACACTTCAGATATAAATACAGTTGCTGCACTTTACAGTATATCCTGTGAAGCACTTTGAGATGCTCTCTGATGTAAAAAGCACTATATCAAATGCAAAGATTATTATTATCTTTTACATTTCTAATAAAATGTTTGCATTTAAAATACACAGTCACTTCACTTACAATGAAATCCTGTGAAGAAATCCTGCAGACATGAAAGCCATTATATCAAATATAAAGAATAGTAGAATTTGATTCTTTAGCTATATTTGATCTGAGAGAAAACACTGCCATTATCTTTTGTTGTACGAGAAAGGCTATTCACGGTTATGCAGCTGTTTCAAGAATCAATTTTTTGTTACATCTTTGATTGAAACACAAAGTTAAGAACTCAGAAAAGTTGGTGATAGTGCAGATCCAATACGTTTGAAATTGAAAGCGAACGTTGAAACTCCTGATATTTTCTCAGTCTTCTTATTTCAATGCGATACATCATATTTCAATTGGGCAATTTTATTTTCCAAAGTGCTCTGAGATCTTTACCTGTCAGGAAAAAAATTTAGTGGAGAACATTGAAACTATAGAGCTGTGAAGAATGATTGGAGCTCAAGGTTATTTTTTTTTACATTTGGTACAGTGCCTTTTATGTCAGGGGGAGTGTCCCAAAACACTTCACAGGATGTACTGTAATGCAGTGACTGATTTGTGGGCGAATGTGGCAGCCAGTTTGCGCACAGCAATGTCCCCCAAATGATCAATTTTATTTGGTTCATATTGTTTATACTGCGCTTTTCACTGAAATTCTGAGTAAATTATGCTGGAGTCTTACTGATGGAATCCAACCCGGAGAGGTGATTTTGGCAGCACGTTAATTTGACGAATTTAATGTCACGTGAATACAATTGGGTTCTGTTCAGCAACAGTCTAATGAAGTATAAGAAACTTTTTGAATGTTAATAAACCACAAGAACTTGAATTGATATAGCACTCTTCAGGTAACATCTTGGAGCATTTTACAGGGAATGGGGTTGAATGTTGAGCAAAGGAAAGGGGAAAGGGGAAGGTGGCCATAGACATCTTCAAAGAGGTAGAATTTGAGGTAGAACTCATACACAAAAAGAGGTTACAAACACAGGAATTCAAGGCTCAGCCATTAATGGTGGCACAGAAAGGGCAAGAACCTGCAACAAGTCCAAGTTAGCTGACTGGAGTAGGATAGGAGAAGATCAAAGAGATAAGGAAGTACCATGGAGTGGATGGATTTGTAGGTGAGGGTAAGGATCCTGAAATTGATCTGCTGGGAGCCAGTGGTGACTGGCAAGGGAGTGGAGACCGGTGATGGGAGTGCAGAGTTTAGTGAGGATGCGGGCAGCAGAGTTTTGAATGAGTTGCAGATTGTGTATGGTGGAGCAGGGAGCCCAGCATTGGAAAAGTTTAAGAGGGATGTGACGAATGCGTGAATAAGCATTTCAAGAGCACTGGATAGGACATAGGAGTGAAGGCGGGCAATGTGGCAGAGGTGAAGGAAGATGGCCCAGGTGAGGGAACCAGATGTAAGGAAGAACAGATAGCTAGGGATTGAAGCAGGTCATGTGAACAGTCCTTTGATGACGTTATGAAATGATGTGCTTGGAGCTCTGTAGCATATTGGTTAGAGCACTCGCCTCACATGCGAGAGGACCTGGGTTCGATTCCCAGCAGGGTGAACCATTTGGCAAGTTACCTTACTCCACCCGCCCCTGTTTACCTAGCAGTAAGTAGGAACCCAATTGTTTGTCAATTGGCAGATCACTTTTCCGGGGTAATATTCCCTTAAAAAGTTTTTTAAAAACTGTTTGTAGGACACTGCAGTTTGCAATTGGCTGCCGCATTTTGCCCACAAAATATATGGTCAATTCACTTTACAGTATATTCTGTGATAAGGTGCCACGTCAAATGCAAGGATTATTATTATTACTATTAAGGCCTTGGGACATCCTCCTGATGTGAAAGGCACTATACAAATGTAATTTGTTGTTGTTGCTATGCTTGAAGAGCCGCCAGAGAGAGTGGTCAGCAGCGGGAAGCATAAATCCAATTTCTTGCTTGGCATTGATTACTCTACTCCTAGAAGCACATCAAAAATATAAACCAGGCATCAAGTGCTTATAACACTCTACATGCTCCCCATTGGTGACATCATCCGCAGACATGGGGGAAATTTCCACATGTTTGCAGATGATACCCAACTCTACCTCTCTGCCTCCACCCTGAGCTCCACGACTACTGGCGTTCTGACATCAAATCCTGGATGAGAGCCAACTTTCTCCAACTCAACGTCAGCAAGACCGAGGCCCTCCTGATTGGTTAGCGCCAGCGCCTCCACACCTCGGGCGCTGGCAGCATCAGCCTCCACGGCTGCACAGTCAACCTCACTAAGCCAGTCAGGAACCTGGGTATCTTGTTTGACCCTGAACTGTCGTTTCACCCCCACATCTGCACCATGACCGGCACTGCCTACCACCACCTCCGCAACATTGCCAGACTCCGCCAATGCCTCACCCCTCAGGCTGCCGAAACCCTCACCCACGCATTCGTCACCTCAAGGCTCGATTATGGAAATTCTCTCCTCATTGGCTTTCCCAACTCTTCCCTTCACAAGCTGCAGATCATCCAAAATCCTGCAGCTCATGTACTCTCACGCACCAGGTTCCGTGACCCCATCATTCATACCCTCCCCCTCTTCCAATGGCAGCTGTCTTCAAGTCAGAAAACAACTGACAACATCATTTTTATGAGCTTTCTATCAGGGCTCATTTAGGCATCTTTAAATTTGATCAAAGGGTCCTAAAAACAAAAACTATTTCTTTCTAGCTGAATCCACTATCAGATGGCTGGCTATAAAATAACTGCACAATTGTTAGATGTCATTTTCAAGAGTCATAAATTACTCTGACTGGAAGCTTTTATTTAACAATACTTTATTGCTTTGAACTGCAATCAAATATTTTAAAAGGCATCTTTTGGAATTTCTACTCTTATCTGCAGTTTATAGGTAAGTTGGAGACTTCAACAGATTCAGGGCACAGACACAGGAATGAAAATAACTCCTACAAACTTACTGATATATAATCTGCATGGGCAACAACAATGTTCAAACAATAATTTAAAACAATTTGCACTTGTAGGTGCTTGTCATAGAGTGAGTGAGAACTCGAGATGAGAGAGAGAGCTGTGTGGGAGGATAGGGGAGAAGTTTGCTGAACATGAGGTCAAATAAATTTTTAGATAGGTTTTGAAAGCTGAGATGGTGGGTGCGAGTTGGAGGAAATTGGGAAGAAAGCTCCAGAAAGTGTGGGCAAAGTGATGAAGGTTTGTCTGATTACGGCGGGCATAAAGCAGGCCAGTGGTGGTGGATTAGAGGTAGTGGATTCCAGGAGATTGCTGAAGTAGGGTGGAGTAAGAATAAGGAAGCATTTGAAAGTAAGCACAAGGATTTCTGAAGTTGATCTGCTGGAGGATAAGAAGCCAGAGGAGGATACTTTCAGGTTTTGTGTGTATCCTTACAACGTCAACATTTTTGCTGTCTTCATTACAAGTATGGGATAATAAATCTTTGATTAGATTAATTACTTCCAAGCAAATATTCACAAGAGGCATTTAAGAAAAGACTTCCATGGAAGTCTAAGAAATCTAAGCCAGGGAAAGATCATAACCAACCAAAAGCTCACAATTGTATCCACCGAATAATAGAAAAATCATGAAAAACAAACCTTTGCAGTATATACAGCCTTCATGTACCATCATCAACAAGTTGCAGTTCATCAAAACAGCCTGCTCATACCCTTACCCACACAAAGCTTTGCATCTCCATCACCCCATTGTTGCCAGGCTCCACCATCTCCCCATTTTCCTGTAGGTCAACTTCAAGATCCTCACTCATGTCTACACATCCCTTCACTCCCTCACCCTTCTCATTCTTCAATGATCTTCTCCAGCCTCACTCTACTGCTCATTCCCCTGCTCGGCTAACTCCGACTGCTTCATATCTCCTCAACCCTGTCTAAAGTCACCTGCGGCTTGGTGTTTGGTACCATCTCTGTGAAGTTCTCTGAGATTTTACTCTAATTTAAAAGTACTACATAAATATGATTGTTTTATGTAAGTGTTCTCAAACTTGAGCAACATTCAAAAGACCAAGGGAAAAAAAGAACTGAATAAATTCAGCTCAATAAGAACAAAAAAAACTTTGATCGTAGAATTATTATATCCTTTTTCATTTTATTAGACGATAACAAACCTTCATTTTTATAATAATCCTTGCATTACATATGTTGCCTTATCACTTCGCCAAAACATTTCAAAGCACTTCACAAGATTTTTCTGTAAAATGCAATGACTGCATTTGTAGGCAAACATATGGCCCTTGCTGGCTGACTGCAATATTTTAAAGCTGCTTTATAGAGTATGACACATCTAAATAATTCACGATGTCCGCACCTAGGATTAATATTTCAATCGTCCTTTCATTTTCAGCTGTATTTCATCCCATTATACTTTTCTTTCTATACAGAATCTAACCTCCCAATACTCACTGACTCACATGAATAATAGCACATGGGTGAGGTCGCAAAGGGCAGCCGACTCCCTTGGAAAATTCCCAAACAGAAAGAAAGTGTCAAAATGCCTTCAGGAAAGGAGGAGGAGGAAATTGGAAGAAAAAAATATATATAGGAAATAACATTTTGTTTTAATTGAACAATTCAATTTTCTATAAGGACAACATAAAAAGAAAATTTGATAGCATACTACTGGCATGGCTAGGTTCCTATCTCAAATGGACAATTAATTTATTTTCAAAAATTAAGTGGGAGCAGTCATGCACTGTTCATTTGTGCAAAAATTGAAAAAAAGTGCACCCAACACTATTAAAGGGACTTGTAATTGTTGACAGAGTTTGGCATGCTCAAGGGCTGTAACATTTCATATCGATTACACATTTTGCAAGAAGTGAGAGAAGTTTAGCTAAAACCAGAAGGGAGGCCTTGGAATAGGGTGCAAAGGAGATTTACCAGAATAATACTAGGGATGAGGGGCTTCAGTTATGTGGGGATTGGAAAAACTGGGATTGTTCTTCTTGGAGCAGATAAGGTTTGGGGTAGATTTAATATAATTGTTCAAAATTATGAGTGCTTTTGATAAGAGTAAATAAATAAATAAAGAGTTACGATTTCTTGTGGCAGGTGGGTCCGTGACCAGAGGGGAAATGAATTTTTTTTTAAAATAATTTGCAAGGCTAAGAGAAAAGGGCAGGGGAGTGGGACTAATTGGATAGCTCTTTCAAAGAACCGGCACAGGCACAATGGGCTGAAAGGCTTGAATTAAGGCAGAAACTGGCTGATCCTTTAAGCTTGAATATTTGGTGCCACAATCATTGACCGATTGAAAACTTTCTATGTTATCACAAGGCTCATCAGCAGAAATGTAACTTTATTATTATTTGCCTTTTCTTTGGTTCGTCACAAGTGGAAACACATCACCATGCTTACGAATAAACAAACCAAACTGGAAGCTCCATGCATGCCAACTACACCATCCGTGGTCTATAATGGAAAGTGCACTCTCTCCCTGAAGGGACGCATCTTGCTTACTTGATTCCAGAAGGTATTAGGCTCAGGTTGGCAAGAGCCAAGGTTTGGGGACTTAGGGTGTGTGTCAGGGTACTGCTGGAGCCTAACCCGCTAAAACGCATAGCTTGCCATTGAAAGTACTGTCTGGCAATCTTCCTGTTGCTTGCCAAGCCAGCACCAATCTACCCATTAGGGCTTTGGCTTGTAGGGTTAACAAAAGCTGAGTGGGATGCCTCCAATGTCCAGTCTGCTTCCAATTCCTGCCTCTAATGACCAGTCTGCCCTTCCACGTCCTACCGATGAGCTCGGCTGGTTGGCTGTCATCAGCAGTGCCCCGGAATACTGAAGATCTGCTTAGCTCAGGAACTTGTCTATCAGGATCACCACAGAGCTCAGTTCTGGCATTCCATTGCAAAACAAGTCTCGTTGGAGACAGCTGAGCACCAATGAGATCCTGCTTACTTCTCCTCAAGAAGTATAGTCTCTAGCTGGCCACTTGTTTACTTTAAAAGAAGAGAAACTAATCTGGAAATTCTTCTTTTAAAGAAACACTTACAATTTAAGTGGATTATAATTTTCTGTAATGAAAGGTTTAGTTCAAATACAGAAAATAGGTTGATGACCCATAGGAGCAAGCAACAGACTAAAAGAGGCAATCCAAACCGGTCTAAGTCGGTTGTATTCAGACAAGTTCAAATAAATATACGATTATAAACACCGAAGAAACACACTGTGTCACTCTGCTCTGACATGATGTATTTCCAGAATGGTGTTCCCTACAGCATCAGAAGCTGCATGTCCAGGATTTGTCAGTATTTTAAACCTCTTTGTATACAAGTGCATAACAGCAAGTTACATTTTAATATTTGTGTCAAGGATGTCGTCAGCAGTTGGTAGAAGGGCCTAATGCAGTGATAGGTGACATTCTTCCCTCTCTGGTGTGAATGTATTAGTATTCCACAATGACAACAATTTGCACATATATATCCCCCTTCACATAGAAGAACATCACAAAACGCTTCACAGGTGCTGCGTGGATACCCAAACTGGGGTGGGAGATGGGGAGAGGGTAGGAGGGAGGTGGCTGGAAGTGAGTTGTAGAGGTTAACTTTTAGAAGGGTTTTGAAAATAGACAGGGAGAGTATAAGGCAGTGGGATTTGGGGTGATATCGCCAAAGAGAAGAGCAAATGGGTGAAAGCAATGGTGGAACAATGATACATAATGCTTTCCCCCCCACCCCCTGCAATGTGCCTGCATCAGTACTTTCACAACCAGTTTAGTTTTTGGATTTTTTTTAACAATAGAACACAATGTGATCCAAATGTCAGACTCCAACCAGAAGGGGAGCTGCCATGTCAGTACATGGCATTCCATGGGACCTTGGTAAGTAACATTTTTTCACAAAAAGTGCAGAAGTAAATGTTATTTAAGAATTTGTTACAGACATGGTATAAGATTAAAGAAAGATATCAGACACTCTACTATTTTGGGATTACTTATTTATCCAATGATAGGTGGCATTTCCTGTGGACTGTGGAGTCCTGTAGCACATTGCTTAAAGAACTCGCCTAGCAAGCAAGAGCATCTGGGTTCGATTCCTGGGCAGTGCGAAAACTTAGGCAAGTTTCCTTACTCCACAGATCTTTGTTTAACTAGCAATGAGTAGGAATCTGGTTATTAGTCGATTGGTGGATCACTTTCCAGGGGTAATAATCTCTTTGAAAAAAAAAGTTTTGTTCACTCAATCCACAGCTGTTTGTGGAACACTCCTGTATGCAATTGGCTGCTGCGTTTTGTCCACAAAATATACAATCACTACACTTTTAGGATATTCCGTGAGGCGCTTAGATGTCTCAACGACGTGAAAAGGTGCTATATTAAATGCAAACATTATTATTATCCCTTTTGGATAACATTAACCGATCCCCAACCCCTTTTTTTTAAATCCAGCATGTACATACCCAATTTCTGAAGCCTCTTCTTTTAACTCAGATACCTTCTCCAAAGCCATTGTAAACATGAAGGATCAAGTGGTGGCTGTTCACAGACTCTCCGAAGCACACACTGCACTGACAGGGAGCTCCAGGCAAGAGGGCACTTTGCCCTTTCATTCTCCCCACCCTCACTGATAATCGCCAAAAAAAAGTTCCACTGAAGAACCACACCTTTCCATTTATCAACCGCTCCACAGTTCACGTGTCACACTGACTATTTGAAGAATGCGAGAGGTAGAAATTCTACTTTGATCTAGACTTTAGACTTTTTTTTAGCATTGTAGAGCAAGCGCACACACTTTAGACGTATAATTCATTCTTAAGGTTTTGAAAGCCGTTTTTCATTGTGGGGGGAAAAAAGGGCAGAAAAAAAGACGGTTTCCAAATTAAGGCTAAATTCAAGGATTGTCCAAAAGTTACCTGTGCTGAAATGTTATGTTAATAATAAACCTGGCATTTGCTACATTGCCTTATCATGTGGTCAGGACATCTCATAGCACATCACACACAGTGTAGTGACTGTGTATTTGTAGGTGAACTCAGGAGCCAATCTACACATGACAATGTCCCACAAACAACCACGAAGTGAGTAAACATAGGCTGTATCAGTTGGGACCGTGCAATTTAATATGACTTCCGCAAAGTGTGAGTTATGTCAAATCCGGATTAGAAGATAAACGTGTGAACAGGCCTCGGGCAGGTGCATCCCACAAAACACATACGGTTGATTCACTTTACCCTATATTCTGGTGCAGCGTTTTGAGACATCTCGGAGACGAGATAAGGGGCTTTATCAAATGCAAAGATGATGATGATGATGATTATAATAACACTAATACAGATCACACTGATGCGAGTTTTACGGTGTAATTCCACAGTCGGGTCGAATCTCTGACCGCCACAACAAGTTCAGAGGATAACCCACGGAGTTCCTCCTTACCTGCAGCTATGAGCAGCGCCAGACTGCAGCCCCCCATCCCGCGGCTGCCTCACCGCTTGAAGGAAGGGCTGTTGGCAGTCAGTGCCCTCCTCTCTCAGCAGCTGCAGCCGCTCGGGCTGCGCCACAGCGAGAACACGGCTTCTTCCACAGAGAGAGAGAGAGAGAGAGAGCGAGCGAGGGGCCGGGCCGGGAGGGCAGGCAGGGCTGGCAGGGCAGGGCAGGGCTGGCAGGGCTGGCAGGGCAGGGCAGGGACCTCTCTGAGGACAGTTGGCCGAAGCCGTTAATGATTTCTCACAAAGTCCACACCACTCGCTTTCGCTCCGCGGTGCAGCCTCCGGGGGGTGAAAGGACACCTCGCGCCGCCTCTCCGTCTCCCTCTCCGGGGCCGCTGTCACAGTGACTGGCAGCAGCTTCCCCGCCCTGCCCTTGGCCTTGCCCTGCCCTGCCCCTGCCCTTGCCCCTGCCCTTGCCCTGCCCCTGCCCCTGCCCCTGCCCTTGCCCCTGCCCTGCCCTGCCCTGCCCCTGCCTTGCCCCCCTGCCCCTGCCTTCCCCCCCTTGCCCTTGCCCCTGTCCCTGTCCCTGTCCCTGCCCTTGCCCTTGCCCTTGCCCCTGCCCTGCCCTGCCCTGCCCCTGCCCTGCCCTGCCCCCCCCTGCCCTGCCCCCCCCCCTGCCCTGCCCTGCCCTGCCCCGCCCCTGCCCCCCCTGCCCCTGCCCCTGCCCCTGCCCCTGCCCTGCCCTGCCCCTGCCCCTGCCCTGCCCCTGCCCCTGCCCTGCCTCCCTGCCCTGCCCTGCCTGCCTTGCCCTGCCCTTGCCCTGCCCTTGCCCCTGTCCCTGTCCCTGCCCTTGCCCTTGCCCCTGCCCTTGCCCCTGCCCTTGCCCCTGCCCTGCCCTGCCGCCCTGCCCTGCCCTTGCCCTGCCTTTGCCCTACCCTTGCCCTGCCCCTGCCCCTGCCCTTGCCCTGCCCTTGCCCTGCCCCTGCCCCTGCCCTATGTGCGCCGACCACTTGCTGCTTCAGTCCTTGTTGGAACAGGTCATCTGGGCACCTGTTGTGTCAGGAATCAGAGCCTTTTTTGGGGGGCATCATGCACCCATCTCTCTCTCTCTCTCCCTCTCTCTCTGTCTCTCCCTCTGGTTGCTGGGCAGTCTGGCAATTAATTACATTGCAATACAATCAAACCCTTGTCTGGTGTCAGTTTGGCACACTCCTGTCTGGGTCAGAAGGTTCAGCACTCAAGACTTCGAGCTCACAGTCTACACAGGGTGTCCACAAAGTCCTCTTATGCCCATGTTACAAAACAGCTATACGAGAGACTACGGAGGAGCTGAGATAAGATGCCAGAGAAACATTTCACCTCCTCGGGCCATCGTGTTACGGAAGATGTCGCGCTGAACATGGAGACAGATCATTATGTGCCATGAAAATGATGGCGCTGGCACCAATCCTCTGGACGCATAAATACAGTTAAACGCTTCTACTGAATACAATTAAGTACTTCTAAAAAATACCATTACATTTTTGGCAAATGTAGTTGCTGAAAGATGTACAAAGATAATTATTAGATGTTAGATAGCAATTGCGTGGATATATATATATATATAAAATATTTAGTAATGTCTTCCCCATAAGAAAGCACACTAATTTGAAAGATTATTAATTTGAAAGGTTACATTGTTGTCTAATTAAAAATATAGTAAATAATGCCATTAATACTGTTGTACCCCAATATTGATGTCATTGACAAATCATAGACAAGTCTGTACGTGTTAAATAAAGACACAGATATATAAAAAATACCTAAAAATGACCACAAACAGATAACGAATGAACCTGCGATGGAAGGATATGGGTATTCTGGAAGGATGAGATCAAATGGGCCAAAAAGCCTCCTTCATCCAGTCTAATCTTTTAATTTTGTGAACCTTATGACAACTCTCTGATGCCAACCATAAATAACATAAATATTAATCGACTGTGAATCTGTAGCCATTCCATTTATTATCTTCATTTGAAATAACTGTGGGATGATCTTTTTTAGTTTCTGCACATTTCCAACACAGTCAAAAAGTTATGTCCATGTTTCTCTTGTTTCTCAAGTGTGAAATCTGTGAACTGTGAAAGAGCTTGTAAATCAAGTTGAAGAGATGGTAGCGACGAGCAGGACAGTCATTTAAACTAATCTATCTGCGTTTAGGTTCATTTTTGCATCTTACACTTTAATAAGATGGAGAGAGGAAATTTCTGACCAATGTCAAAAATATTCCATAGTCTCTTATCAAAAATTCAGTGATATACACCACAGCCTCATCCCCTGCAGCCTGTTGATCCCCTGAATCTTGGTGAAAAGCTGCCCATTTAGAATGCCATTGTTGAAAATGACCATCGGCCCATTTTTTTTGGAGGAAGAGCCTTTGCTTTTCAGAGACCTGTATTAACTGCTGAATATTGGTTTGGTTCACAAGTTGCAACAGGTCAACCTACCTTGTTGTAAGCAAGAAACTGGAGCAACAACAACTACTTGCATTTATACAGCACCCTTCACGGGGTGTAGCATTTCGGAACAACAGTGAATAGTCCATCAAACTAGTGTTCCTGATTGTACAGCGTTCATGTCATTATTACCCATATCAGTTGGCTCCTGTATGTGTGAACTTGGCATGCACGTGTCATTCAACAGAGCTGTCGACATCAGGAAATTGTTTAGAGATAAGTGGAGACATTTGGGATAAGTAGTTGTTATTCAGATTACAAACTTATTTAAACTGCACAACTGTATTTATCTATTCTTAGGACATCAAAAATATACCAAGTCTACAGACCAAAATGTGCAATTGTCTATCATAAAAATGACATACAGAGTGTGGGAGAATATATCAATATTTGAGAGGGGCACTGCCTCATTCACAATAAAAAAGCGCAGACCAGCTGGCAGTATGACATCAAAAGTATTATTTAGAGGGCAATCCTTATTATGGAGTAAAAGCTGTGGTTTCTTAGCCAATTTTGCTTTGGCGGCTGGCCATTATAAACAGCCGAAATACACCCAGTATAACTATCTCAACTTTTACTGTGGTCTGGCGGTAGAGGCCAGACTGCCGCCAGGAAGAGTCTTATCCTTTATGGGTGGAGGACAGATAGAGAGGGCTGAGGAGGATGTCTAACAGATATAACATTGCCTAATTTGCTCAGTACAATATTTTCCATGAACCTTCACAAACCTTTTTTGAGGTTCAATTACCATATAATTGTGTATGAGGCCTTAACAGGTATCAAATTAAGACCACTCATGAAGTGCATGTTTGAATTATCGTGGCCATGAGCATAATTATCAAAGATATCTGTGCACACTAAATATAGAAATGAGGTTAATTAATAACATTTAGCAAACAAAATTGTTTAACTGGACCCTGAGCCATATTGGGTGGTTTGGTGAAACCCTTTGTTGATCAGAAACTGTCTGCACTAAACATTACATGACATGATAAACTTATACAATATTCAAACACACTCCTCATTATCCTGTGTATTATGTACAAGACATCAGAAGGATATGCTGACGTATTAACAGTTAATTGTTGTAATAATAGAACTTGTGGAATTACGCAAGATGTCAGTCACGACTGAAGAATAAAGGTAGCTTAATGTTTCAAGCAGATGTAATAATAAACCTTACATTAAATGTAGTGCCTTTCATGTCAGGAGGTTGCCTGAGTGTGTCACAGGATTTACTGTAAATTGGAGTGATTATGCATCTCTTTGGAAACCAGGTAGTTCATTTGTATGCAGTAACATACACAAACAACAATGAAGTAAATTACCAATTATTTTTATTTGAGAGGATTGTTGGCCAGGATTCTGGGAGAAACTTCTTTCTTTGTTTGAGCACCACCATGGGATCTGAACAACAGATGGGACCTTCTGTCATCCAAAGAATGACACCTTCAACAATACAGTGCACCCACAGCACTGCATCAGTGTATCAACCTAGACTATATGAGTTCAGTCTGACATGTGGCTTGAAACCACAACATACAACTGAGCCAGATTGACACCCTAGTCCTTCATGAGAGCATCCCAGCAGAATTAAGTTCTGAATGGTCAGGGGAGAACTGACATTGTTGCTGGATTTACCCAGTAGTTAACTGATTTCTAATTCAGAATGTGTCAGTAAATACCTCCTTGACTCTGCCTTCCAT